TAGTCTACTTTAGCTCCCAGTAAAAGAAACTTTGCACAAATTAGAAGTAATGTAATCTAATCTTCTATAATTTGCACTAAAAGCAGTCGTTTTAAAATACTCCTCGCACACTTAATTCAAACATTTCGTAAGTACGTAATATGAACCTACGAACTTACTCTGAGAAATTTATTTTTTGTAACTAATCCAATGCTGGGTATGCTCCTAAGAATTCCAACTGCCATTTATCTTCCGCGGTAACTGAAATCTGTCATTAAAAGATTGACTGCAGATCAGAAGGATCAAACTCCGAATTGAGATTGTGAATCGAATTTACTGATTCGATAATGGATGGCTCGAAGATATTGGAATGACGGCCCTTCCGTAAGAAGCTTAAACTTATAATAATCTTTTCAATCCATTTTACGAAATTTTTGATTTAATATGCTTTCGTATAGATTGAGGAAGTATTCCAATGTATGTTGGAAATTGAACAGCGATGTAAAATGGAGGCCATCTTTGATGGAACGTTGAACTGATGGGAGAAAGTTATAATTTTGCACTCTTGATAAGTTATATTTTTTATGAGACGTAACTTAAAACCTCTATCAGAAATAATTTTTAACTTTACAACAATAATAAAGTTACATAAAATATTCTAACCATCATAAGCTCCCGTGGGCTCTTGTGTACAATAACATAATGTAGGAAACAGCTAGCCTAATAGCTTCTTATATAAATTGCATAAGGTTTAACGGTACTCGTATAAATTGTATTTAAAAATAAAACCACATAACATAACATCACGCCTTTTATCCCTGAAGGGGTAGGCAGAGGTGCACACAGAAGTAACACCCACTTTTCACTATTTATGTTATGAGTCCCATGTTATAGGGTGTGAGCCTATTGCCATATACCGGGCACAATTCCAGACTTCGTGCTACTACTGAGATTTTTTAAAAAACATAGTAATACTTTGCTCGACCCGAGAATCGAACCCGAGGCCTCTTGCCCGGCAGTCGCACTTGCGACCACTCGGCCAACGAGGCAGTCCGTAGAAAAAAAAACCATTCGAGAGCTATTTACAGATATGACGTTCTTATAACAGTATTACTTTCCAGCCTCTATACAGAGGAGGTAATCAAACAAGGAAATATCTGTAAATGAAGCTCTCTGTTCTTAATTTAAATTTGAATTTTCCGCGCAATGCATTCATACACTATCTGTGGACAGTAAGTCTGTACTACTCTATGATTGTGTGTAAAAAGTTTTGGTGAACACGTTTCACTAATTATTGTTAAAATTATAAGAAAATATAATTAAAAGCTTTTTATGTTGTTTCTCTTTTTGCTGAGCAATAACATAACCAGCTTTTTTAATAATAACTAACATATTACATATCTATAAAACACACACATAGTACATTCATGTTCTTAACGCGTGTTACCTACAACACACACATATATGTTCCTAATACGTATGTGTGGAAAAGGCAACTTACCTAATTCTTATCGTATTCAATTACAACTGCAACAGCGTAAGCAAATACGGAGACCTTTACTGCAACGGTTATTTTAATCGCCTAGTTCAATGGTTCGAACGTACTCGTTTAGTGGGGGCCTTGAAATTAGCGATTTTATTCCTATAATAATAAGGTTTAATATATTATGACAAAGTACTAGTTCAGTTATATGTATTTGTATCTTTTTTTAAGGTGTTTTCAAATGTAACATCAAACCTGCCATGGGTACCTATTTAATCGATTAACGAAATGGTTTTTACGGAGGCTGGAAATTTGACAGCAGAATTACAATAGGCTTCTACAAATGGTGTCAGATGACATTACAAATACATTACTTCATTAAGGCACTGATTGAGAGGCAATTTTTTATTGTTTGGTTTTAAAAATTACCACTTTAACATTTTGGTCTAATTACAACAAATGATTTAAATCTAATTAAAAAACAAAGTCGCTATGCGCCGTCTGTCTGTCCCTATGTATGCTTAGAGCTTTAAAACTACGCAACGGAATTTGGTGCGGTTTTTTTTTATTCTTAAGGAAGGTTTATATGTATAATGCTGCATATTGCCCTCGTGCGAAGCCGAGGCAGGTCGCTAGTTACTAATTATAGTATTCAACTAAATATTACCAATAAACTAAATACCTATTAAATATATAAACGAAACTAGCTTGTACTCGTGGCTTTGCTCGCGTATTCCAGTTTTATCCCATGGGAGCATTTAATTGGGATAAAATGTATCATACCATAAGTCAGCCCATACCCTGCCTGTAAACCAAATTTAATCATAATTCGTCCAGTAGTATCAACCATTCAAATATCCAAATATTCAAACGAAGATACTTTCACATTTTACAATAGGTACCTATTATAGTGTGGTAATAACTACATGGCTAAAATACTTATATAAAATTGAGCACCTTACATACTTTCAATTTCCACACCACAGGTATGTATGTATTTTAACACAATATTAATTTTCTAACAAGTTACTGAGAGTTCTTAGAAGTTTTTCTTCGTGTTAACTTCTTTAGAAGTATTTTTATAGAAAATTGTTGAGATAATTATACTATAACACGTTACCGTAATGTAAAACTGCAATTCCACAATGTTCGTGCAGTTTTTTTCATGTCAGTTAGTTAGATACTTGTTATTTATTGTAAGTAGATTTTTTATTAAAAATAACTTAAATCCAAACCAATTTTCGTAAGATGAGAGATGACCTGAGATCTATTTTTTCTTGATATTGGTACCTAAACATTGCAACGTTATGTACAATATCGAATATCTATAAGAATATTAAGTACCTAACTATAATTTAAAATGCTATTATTTTTCATGACATGACTTATAAAATAAATAGTGAGAAGTGGGCCTAAGATGGAACAATGGCATTAAGTGCCATAATGTGCACTTGTGCCTACCTCCTCGGGGATAAAAGGTGTAATATTATGTTATTTATCATTTTTTTAATTTGTTGTTATTTTTTGACGCTAATTACATCTCAATAGTCTGTATTAGTACTATTCCCTAAGTAAAGCATTTAATAAAATGTCTAAAACATTCTACCATTTCAACTATCACATGTCATAAGTACAGTCCAATGTCCCCGGCCCGCCAACTTCATTGCCTAACCGTTTAAGTTGGCTCATGAATATTGAACGAGCAGGCACGCCTTTAACGCTCGCACTTTTCCGCTCTCCGCACACCACATTAACACCACACTATTACCACAAAAAGTCGATTTGTAAACTGAAATCAATGGACTCTCTATTCCCGACTCCCAGCCGTCTCAACCTGACCTTTCTTTCTGCGATTAAATATTGTTTTTGGCTCGAAACTCACAACTTTTTGATCATCTATTGTTTGAGCGGACCAAATCGAGGTTGGTTCTATATACAGGCTGTCCCGGTATTTATATCTTGTTATTCTATGTTAGTTTTCTTTCTTCTGTCAGTGATTGTTTTGTTTCCTTTATACAGCTTTTGTATGTATAACGTTACCTGGTTTTATTTGGTATTTTTCTATACTATTATGCTTTGGTTTCTGAACACAGAATTGGGATTTCATTTTTTATGTCGGGTATATGAATGGAGAAAAGATATAGTTATGATGTGGTATCTTTTGTTTTGTTCTTGTTAAATGGGATAATTTTTCCGAGTTGGGTAAAGTTTTATGATGTTATCTGTATTCGTAGTCATCGGAATCATAGTCATAGTTTTGTGCTTTATATTTATGACTTAAGTTCTTTTAACAGTTTTTTTCTTATTAGACTAACATTTATCCTGAGCAACTATCCCAAAAATGTAACGAAATGGTATCTTTTTTCACGAGAAAAATATTTACAACAGCATTTTTTTCGTAACGAACTAAACGTTCCACTTTGCAGGCCAAGTTTAAAATTTGCATTACCGCCTCAAAACCTTCAAACTTAAAAATGTGTCGAGTTTTTTCATTTAAAATTTTTTGTCGCAAAGCATTCCAAGTACTACATTTATTTCTTAACTAGTAAAAGAAGACTAGTTGTATAATTCGCAGAAAAGAACGAAGAAAGAATTTTCTCAATGGAAGTATAAAAATTTTTAGTATCATTTTGGCTCTATATAAAAATTATTGTAGGGTAAGTTGATGAAGTGTGAGTCAGATCAATGTACAAAGGGTTTCGTACTACTAGCCGTGTCCAAAGGATTATTTTACAAAGTTTCTGTGTTACACGTGATTTTTTCCCACAATTTAAGGTTTAGAATTTTCTTTTTTCGGTGATAGGTAGGTACGTCGTTGTGGTCGATACCCGTTAATGATCGTTTGTGTGGTTTTAGTAAAAGTGTAGCGGCATTCAAATAGCTATCGTAACTACGTTCATAAAGCACGTTATAAAATAAACGTTTTATAGTGCATCCATATGATGAACTTGATAAATAAACCTCGCGAGAATCTCACAAACAGCTAGTATACTATTAGAAACTAATTTACAGTAACTTATGTATCTTTATATTATAACTTTTGTGAAACATACTAAACTAATTACATATTATGTTTTTCGACTTAATTACGTAGCAGCGCGACAGTCGCCGCGTCGCGAGTCGCGGAAAGCTGCTCATGAATATGAGTCCCTAGCGTGGCTTGAAACTAGTTGAGTTCCTGGTCAAATAATTACGTGAGTAAACTGAAAAATATAATGCTTATTTTGTATCTTTTGAGAACAGAACCCTAAAAATCAATAAAAATTCAATAAATCCTTTTGAGCCCTAAGGGAAATTCTGTAGGAAAGTTCAGTTTCTGTTGTTCATCTCTATGGGCCTGCTTCAACGTAGAAAAATAAATTTGACATACGTCAGGTTCGTTGTGCTTGACTGTGGTGTAATATTATTGTGTACAGCGATACTATAATCAATTTATGAATGAAGAACTATAAAATTATGTCAATTAATAAATTACTTGTGTTTTGAATGTTGTATGAAGAAGTTGTGTATGTTATGTTATCGCGTCGTGTAGTCATGAATGATAAAATTGTGGCAACGCCAACGAAATGGCGGTACGTATTTGTATTCATGGTTTAAAGGTGATCGTAGTTTCCTTCAGCATCTTTTAAAAGTTTTTAAAACCCATATGCTATAAAGCTAGTACATAATACAATGTGCAATTGGAGAAAATTTGTGGACATTAACAAGAAATATCCAAATAAAGCAGCCAGATTGAAATTGTGGACATAGGACCTTCAAGTCAATAAATTAAGGTTAAGACAAGACGTCCTATCCCTAATCTATGGACGATATAAATCAATAGGACCCACTCTATTAACTTACTTGTAACTTTATCAATCGTCTAAGCCCTAGTCAGATAGTATTCAAATTTCTATTACCTAGGTCCATTAATATGTCTTATTTACATTCAGGTTTTGTCTACAGTAAATGGGAAGTTACTGCTCTAATATTTGGAATTACAGTATTCTTTATCGGTAATTGTTTTGTTTATAAATATAACCATTTAAGTTTTTTATGCGATAAGCCAGTAAACGAACAGACGGATCACCTAATGGTAAGCAATCGGTGCCGGCCATGGACACCCGGAACACCAGAGGCGTTACAAGTGTATTACAGACCTTTTAGGGATTAGGAATTTAAGAATTGTAGGGGATTCAGGGATAGGGGAAATTGAGGAAGGGGAGAAATAATCGGATCTCCGGTAAACCTAACTCACAGGACACGTTGTTTCACGTTGGTTTTCAGAGAGGCCGTGGTATCACTCCGGTCCGCAAGTGAGACTGCCGAGCAAGGGTCTTGAATTCGATTCCCGGGTCGGGCAAAATATTACTGTTTTTTTGTAAATCTCAGTAGCAGCACGGAGTCTGAAATTGTGCCCGGTATATGGCAATAGGCTCACCCACTATTACATAGGACTCATAACATAAATAGTGAAAAGTGGGTGTTACATTGTACAGTGGCATAATGTACACCTCTGCCTACCCCTTCGGGGATTAAAGGCGTGATGTTATGTTATTTTATGTATGTAACGTTACATTTTTTTTATTTATGTTTGTTTGACATAAGTTTTCCGTGTAACTTCTTTAATAATCGAATAAAAGTAGCCTATGTTAGACACTCCTTGAAAGTAAGTATACTAAGACGAAAGAATAGACATTTCGAAATTAGTTCATTCGTTTCAAAGTCTATTCAATGTCAAGAAGTAATAAATCTTCTCTCATAACAATATTAGTATCTATAACTTCAAATTCTATTTTAGTTCGTTATCAACTGACCAAACTAATAGATATACATTCCCTTTTTGGCAGACGAATAAGTAAACATAATATCGAACTTTATCATTACAATTTAACCATATTCAAATCAATTTCATGCTCAATTTAACAGGATTGAGGCATCAATTGTCATTCGATAATCTCATTAATTTTGCTCTCTGACTTCGTCAATTTGATTGAGTAAAAATATGAGTTTTAACATCTGAATGCTTCAATTTTTATTAGATTGCTAGTAAATTAATATTGTTATTGATTCTCACTAGTCTGATAAGTATAGTGCGTGTGGAATTAGGAAAATACTTGTGTAAATCTTAGTACCGTTGTAGATCACCAGTATTACCTAAAAAATCTGGGAAACATAATGTACATACCTGTCGCGGAGAACCTAACGGGTAACCGGGTCTCGGGCTCGACGTGCAGGAGAAGGAACGGGGTGGTTTTTAGTCAGTAAGAGTCTGACACTCCCTCCCGCCTCACCCAGGCGGGAGCAGTCATTCGATGATTTAAAAAAAACATAATGTACCTACCTGACGATAGATAGACATAGGCGCTTACTTATTAAGATAACAAAATGTTTTTATGATGTTTTGTATTCAGGAGCGGTCATGACAGCTATTGGGTTAAAAAAGAATGGTGAAGGTCCAGAATCGCTGGGTCGACCTTGGGTCATAGGTGGAGTGGCGTGTTGTTTTTGTGCGGTTACTATACCAGGTAAGCATTGCATAGCATCCTTTCCTATAATCCTTAGTTATATTATAAATAGGAAAGTGAGTTTGTTTGTGTGTTCCCCTTTCACGCCGTAACTACTAAACCCATTGATACCAGCCAAGGCTGTAATCGTAGTACAGGACTGCTTTTTTATGGGACAACCCGGTAAACGAGCATACGGATCACCTGATGGTAAGCAATCGGTGCCGCCCATGGACACCTGAAACACCAGAGGCGTCACGAGTGCGTTACCATCCTTTTTGTCAGTACTTATTCCCTTCGAATAAAAGATTGCTGCAACGTTATGTTTACATCAACTTTTCAAAATTGTATCCCTAATTATACAAAACAGAACATCAACGAAAACCATCAGTTAGACATTTAGGGAAACTTCGTAATGGTAATTTTTTCAACAAATTATAAGTCAGTTCCCAAGCCCCGTCTCCCCAGGGCGTCACAAAACATTTGTTGGAACTTTATAATTTTCTAAGGATTCACAAGGACAATGACCCACGTTTAGTCACAATGTGAAGCCAAAACAGCTTGACGTGACGTAAATCAAAACAAAATATTTCTGTTACCAAGGTTTTTTTTCGTGTTCCCTTAAGAAAATGAAGTGAAATACAGCCAATGTTTATCGCTGATGTGGTTTTCTTCAGGAGAAAAGACACAAAAATAAGGTTTACTATTTAGGTGACCTAACTGAGTGCTTAAGTTACCTATGTAATCTCAGTTTTAAAGTTGAGTGATATTGGCCGGGCTCGTTGGCCAAGTGGTTACAAGGGCGACTGCTGGGCAAGGAGTCTTGGGTTCGATTCCCGGGTCGGGCAAAGTATTACTGCTACAAATCCTCGAGGAGTTCCCTCGACTGTCTCTTGACACCATCAACAGATTAACACCACATCTTCATTTAAAAAAAATCTCCCTACGCTGTCTGGAATTGTGCCCGGTATTTGGAAATAGGCTCACCCCCTATTACATGGGACTCATAACAGAAATAATAAAAGGGGGTGTAAACATTGTACAGTGCCATTAAGTGCCGTAATGCGCACCTCTGCCTACCCCTTCGAGGATAAAAGGTGTGCTGTTATGTTATGAGAAATTAATATTTTGTTTCAGGATGCGTATCAGCGTACAAAACCCTTACCAATTTCCGAAAACGAATCATCCATTCAAATAAGACCGCAGCAAGTATAAAGTTCCGAAGCCACCAGCATCGATATATTCGCTGACCCTAGTAGATGGTTCTATCTCAATCGATTAATTGTTAAGACAAGGAAATAAAGTATTATCATTTTTTATTTATAGACTTCTTTATTGGTTACGAAAGTGGGGGCGTCAATAATTGATTGCCGTGGCTTCGAAGAAAATGTTATTAGTAGGTAGGGCAGGAAGTCAATATGACGAGTGTACCTAAGAATAGGCATCTTTATAAATACCGATATTTAAGTAAGGAAAAAGTTAACCTAATAATTAACCTAAAAATTAACCTAATAATAACCTAAAAAAACCTAAAATTAACCTTATAAGATAAATTAACATTTATCTCATTATCTCTAGTGGGGCAAAGAAAATTTACTGTATGGTTCTACCTTCTATCTAAGAGACCTAAGGAAGTAATGAAGATTGTATGTGGCCATACATAGCATGATTAGGTTAATCTTCACATGGGCATAGCAAGGAGGGCCGGGACAGATATATAGAAATACAGCTTGGAGGTGTCATGCTTACTCAAGTCTTATTGGCGGTCGTACGTGCAGTGGATCGCTCGATTCCCTACAATATGGTTGACTTAGGCGGTGCTGGTGTACGTGTCATGTTCGTGAACGGGCGCTGTCAACTGGAACTAGTCTACTAGCTTGTTCTAAATTAACTCCAGACTGTATTAAATTTGTTGTCATTTTCTTTTTCTTTCTCGTTGACTGAATATTGGTGTTACATTGTTCTCACATAATTGTACTAACGAAACAATGTAACCAAGAATATTGTATTGTGAACCTGATTGAAAAAGAGTAACCTATGGAGTTTCTTGCTCGATCTTCTCCATAGGAATCTACACTTTGGAACGAGTAAATAGCATCACTAGAGGACTGACTGACAGACTGAAATTTCTTTTTAAATATAGGTAGGTATCTAATTTTTTTGACGTTCAAAAGTGCCTTCTTGGTCTAATTGAAATAAATGATTAAAACTTTGAAAAAGAAGATTCTAGATGTCTTAGACAAAGTCTGAAAATCTTTGTCTAAAATAGTTTTTATAATCAGAGTTCCTTTTACCTGAAAAAAAAAAAATGTTAAGTAGGTAAAAAACCCAGTAATCCCACTGAGTCTCGATTTTAAAACTAAAAATAGCACAATTGGCAAATAGTGTCTGTATTTTATATAAAAATTCTCCCTTGTTGTTGTTTTCCGAGAAAAATAAACTCTTGACCTTTTCATTTTCTTCAAGTAATACTGGATAAGCTTGTAATACTGAATATACATAAAATACATATTTTTTACAGAAGTCACTAAAAAATATTTCCAAATTGTAAAGGATATAGCTAACAATAGGACTGTGTACTTTAAAGTTAGGTATGTTTTTTTTATTTTCTAGAATATCCATTGAAAAACTACCTAACACAAATCTGTCTGAGCTACAAATAAATTTGGCTTACTATACGTAAGGCACTTAAAGTGACGAAATATAAAAACATCAAGGTCTATTTATAAGTATAAAATACACGTGTTTAACACAACCCCAAATTATGAGGTGAAATGGGTACTTTAATTTTGATATTATAAAATTATACTCAATTGACCAATTAACTTGTAACTCGATATAAGAAGGCTAAATTTATACATTATAATAAAGAAGTACATGTTTAACGGTGTATCGGAAAATAAACCTAAATACTGTATAGATAAAGTACAAACATGCAATGTTGTATGATACCACAATCGTTACGTGAAGTGGTAAGCAGAAAATGTTATCAGATATTATTTCTAACGTACATAGTTTGTAACTTAAGTACTTAAGATGTCTAGAAAGTTTCAAAATCTTTCAATTACTGTCTATATACTACAAATGTAGATAATAAATGAAAATGAAAATATAATCTAATGATTATATCATTTTACTAGGTTCTGGCAACGGCTTTTTCCGAGTTCCGAGGTAAAAATAGCTTATATATTATTCCAGACTATTGTCTATCTAGACTATCAGTCTAGAATATATATCCATATATAGCTACATTTTACTAGTATAATAGTAGTAGACTATGGTCTACCTCTGTTTCAAATTTCATCCCGATTCTTTGGGCCGATTTGACGTAATTGAGAAACAAACATACACATAAACTCACAAGTTTTCGCATTTATAACATTACTAAGATTTAAAAAAGTCTTTCTACGGAATTCAACAAAACATTTCGTTCTACCTATACTTACTCGAATCAGTATAAGTGTAGGAAGAAAGCACGGTTCATGTGCGAGCCGTGCTATAAGCGAATCGTTTATTTATTGTAGGGCACTAGCGCCGAACCGTATCACCAGTAAATAGCGACAACGGCCAATATTTTCTCACACATACGTTTTTCCATGAATCATTTTTTCTATTTCTGTGTATCCAAGAAATAAATTCGGTAAATATTATACAATATACGTTCTTTTACCACCTTTTACTCAGTTCAATAAACTTTCCATTGACGCAAGCCATTACCTGTCAGTTACTTTGATTTAACCTTTAATCTGTCGGTAATCTTATAAAAATCAAACTAAAGATAAATCTCCTTCCGCCACCCCGAACAAGTTAATTTACCTCGACATTCTTGTCATTCAGGCTTATCGTCTAAATATTGGAATATTTTAAAAATGACGAGCTTGAAATTTGCTAACAAAAAATGTCTACTTAAGGTCAATTCTTCTTTGGTGAATTAACTTGAAGGAAACACGCTTACAATTTGTATTCGACAGTAAGCACAATTCGCAATCAGCAAAGCCGGTTTCTGTACTCCGAGTACGCTTGTTTGTCGAACCATTAAGCGTATTGTTGTAAAATATTCGATATTTTCTTCAACATGTGTAACAATTCCGTTATTTCGCTGAGCCATTTTAAATTCTTCATCTGTAAAGTCGCATTCGCGTAACAGGAATTCATGGGTGAATCAAATGCTGGTATATTTTTGAGTGAACAATGTGAAATCACTTCCTTATTTGCTTGATGAAGTTACGAAAACGTGAAGCTTTTTTTGTAAACATTAAGAAATGTAAATTAAGTCACGTTGTCACGTTTTTTCGACGTCTACAGATTCAAGAAGAGGAAAAGTGATAAGTATGCAAGTCTATGTGTTATATGAACGTTTTTCATCCACGAAATCTTTTTGAGCACAATTTGTTGCTGTTGGTTTCTTAACTTAGATATTTACATAAAATATTGCGGCTTTATATAAAAATGTTTAGAATATTTACACCGGACAAATTGTGTTGTGAGCTGTAAACTCTACAGCATGATCATACGGGATGTGATCAATACCGCACGTGACATTCTGCATCTAAAAATGTGCACTAACAAAATATTTCCCGTTTGAAAAGCTAACATTGCAGGGTTACCTATTGCACGCTACGACACTAGATCGATAGCTTATTTTCTCGTTCGCAGTACTACGACAATAAAGGCCTGTGTAGGTAAATGTGTTACTAACATTGATTGATGTTCACTCGTTCATCTCCCATCCCGTGGTTGTTATAGACACAACCGCTTTTAACGTACCAGCTAAGGTAATTAGCTAACACCTTCACTGTATGATTGATAGTTGGAGCTTACCCATTATTTATTAAAGTTACGCGTTGACTTGTATGAATATTGTACACCTTTCGATACCTATTCATCATACGGTTACGGAGTTATAGGTATATACATAAATGTGTGTATGTATTTTATATATTCAAAAGGAAACTTTGTTCCTATTTCTCCGATTTATGCGAAAGCGGGTTATGTGATTGATATTAAACCTTCACGGTTTCGTGTTGGCGGGAAAGTTTCATTGTAAAGATTTTTGTTTTTTTATTTATAGGCTCGTTAGAAATATAAATCTAGTGTGAGTTTTGTGGTTGGTAGGCAAATAAAACTAGGGTTTTGTTCCTCAGGTTGCTTATGTAGGCGTTACTTCATACGTTGTGTATTGCGTAAGGGTAAAACCTTCCTGGCATGCACTAACGCTTTTAGGATGCTGTTATATGGAAACGTACCGGGCTTTCAAGCCATTTTCTGCAACAAAACAAGCCTGTATACTGCATCGCCTGCTTAGTAGTGCAACATTAAGGCTAAGTAACAAAATGTTTAGTTTTCGATAACATTAAAACAAAAATACTTATAAAAGAAGCGTTATAAAATGAAAGTTTTAAAAACATCCTGTAGGTATACACATACACCTATTTAATAAAGGATATTAAGGTAATTTGAAAAGGTTTCCTTCCCAGAACAAGAAAGAACTCGTAGAAATGTACAATTTTGTACGTAAACATTTATTTTCAAGAAGTACTGTCAAAACACTGCGCAAAATATTTTTGGGTATACACGACAGCACAAGCTACCCTAAACCGACATTTATATGCAATAAAATTTGAACTTTATTACAAAACTAACAAGTCATAAATCCATTTAAAACAGATTATAGCAGGTTGATGTGCAATTGCTCATGTCTGTATCTACATTAGACGCTAGTATCATTTGAAGCACGTTACAGGTTGTTTCAAAATGTCGTTACCCCTTAACCCTAATTTCAAGCCTTGGGGTAACACTGGCAGTCTACAGTAGGTACGCTAAAAGTCAGACAAGCGAATAAAACACCGAAATACGAACACTCACCTTGTTACCGTCCGTTGTTATTCAGTCTTGTTCCTTTTTACCCGACAAGGCGTTAGCTGATGCAGAGTTAGGGATAAATGTACCCAGTACCGACATACACCAACGCGTTTTAATTGGGTTGTGAATGTTAAAGCACAGTTTTAATTAATAGAAAGGGATTCTTGAATTTATGGGCGCCTGGTATTTATTTTTGGATATTATAATTTTGCGTTGGTGTTTACTTTTCTTGAATAAATAAATTATTAACATGATAAGTAAATAACGTGTCACCTCTTAGTGACACGTTATTTACTTATCATAAAACCTCGTGGATAAGCAGAGATACACATGAATAATATACATGGGCATTACACTAAGCACATAAGCACGGCGTTTCTTGCTTTGG